TCCGGGCCATGGCACGCAGGACCCTCGTCCATCAGCTTCACTCTCCTTACCAAACCCCATTTCCTATGTTTCCACCGACTGGTCTCATTCTTCTTTTCCCTTCCTCCTTCACCCTCTGCCTGGAACTCCCCACCTCCCCCCACCATTTTGAAACCCCTTTTAAAACATGAGCCCAGGCTTGACTCCAATTCTGCTGGGAAGCTTGTGATCTCTTCCAGCTGAGTCTCCTCATTCTCAGCCCTGAAGGGCACATAGTCCAGCTCGAATGGCAAGTTCCTAGCTGCATGTATTCTTGTGTTCAGGGAAAACTCCAAGGTCCAGACGGCAAAGGCTTGGGGTTGTGTTTCTTTCTTTTTTTTTTTTTTTAAGTAGGCTCCACGCCCAGCACCCCTGTTTTTCTTTCATATGTTCCCATGGTGTTTGTATGATGCTGGGGCCATGGATTTACAGCCACACACATTTACAATTCACATAAAACTCATCAATACTTATATACACACAGAGATCCACACATACATGTCAAATTGCATTAGACATACCAGTGGATGGTAAAGATCATATCCAGCTGGGAAACATTTGTGTATGGCTCTTGCACATAGACCCCCATATTTTGATGCTCTAGGAGTTCATAATTCAAGAAAACTGGAATGCACCCTGGGAAATCCTGTGTGAAGGGAACCAGAAAGCCCGATTCTTAAGTCTAAAGTCTCCCCCACAGTGGGTTGTATAATGGGGCGAGAGTCTAGTCACTGTGATGAAGAAATGGGCCAGGCTTTCCCATCTGAGGTTGCTCGCATGCTGGGAATCCTGAGCTTCATGTTTACATCTCGGTAGCATCTTTTCGCCTATTCTCCTTCCTTTTTTAGTTGAGTAAAGTAATGGTCGGTGGAGGTGGCTAAATGTCAGTAGTTAATGTCGGTATTTTCAGATCCTGTTTGCATCCCCCAAAAACCATTTACTTTAAAGAAACCAAGTACACAACCATGTGGTGACAACATTAACATTTATTTGAAAAGGGCATCATGAAGACTCATTGGGAAATCATGACTAATAGTCCTAAAGAATGATCTTGCTAAAGAGTCCTTCTTCCTACAACCCCCCCTTACCCCCACTCCTCTTTCCCCTTTCTTAAAATAAAACTAATTTGATTCAATGAGTTTAAAATACAGAAAACTGCCATAGGCACTAATTCTGCACTCCCGTATAAATACGTCAGCTGTCATGTACATATATTGTCAACTATAAACTACACGGCAGACACATGTGCGCACGCGGGCACACACACACTCAGCCAGGCCATGAGGGCCTAGATGGACACAGACGCACTCCGATGTATGTGTAATGCTGCAGCGTTTGTGGGTTTACAGCTCTGCACGCCACAGGCCAGAACCGACAGTCATGGAGGAAGAGCTCAGAAGGGGAAAGTGATGGCCTGAGGCCCTAAGGTCCCCTGAAGGAGAAAAGACCTGGTCAACCTGGCCGGTGCTAAAGGAGAGCACAGAAAACTGCCTCTGACCCCAACAGGCCACAGAGCCCCGTCCACAGTCCCCATGTCTTCTCCCCACTCCCCCAGCTGGCCAGGCCCACCATGACCATCCTTCCACAATCTTCAGACCTAGGGTCACTTTAACCAGAAGATTTTTAGGGGATGGAGCAGCAGCACGTGGCCCTAAACCTCCCCAGACACCAGGAAGATACCTTGTTTCAGCAGGATCTGCCTGCCAGGGTCTATGGGTTAGGGGAAGCAGGCACGAGCTGCTCTCGTGAGCCGTCCTTTCCCACAGACCCCCATAGGCCAGTTGCCATTTTATGGTCGCAGAGAACGATTGGGAGAAATGACCTCACTTCCCAGTGACATTCTCTGTGACCAGGTCAGAAGGCCTGGGGACTGTGCAACAGCAACTGGAAGCTATCATGACCCAGGGGCCCCCAGAGAAGCCCAGCGGTCGGACTTTGAGCTGTTTTAAGGTACCCCAAGCTGCTGTGATTCTTAGGCCAACTGAAACATGTCCTCTGGGACCCAGATCACCCAGGGCAAAGGGCAGCATGTATATGACCCTCATACTCCTCAAGCACTGTAGATGGTCCCAGCCCCACCTTTTCATAGGCCATCCGTCTGTACTTGTGTAGGAGGCTGGACAGAGGACAGCGTCCGAGGGAGGACCTTTCTAATTCTTCTCACCTGCTTGGGTTCCTCCTTTGGTGAGGAGGCATTTAGGAGTCAAGGAACTACTTATTTCTACTTTTCAGAGAGAGGAAAACGGGAACAGGCACAGGGCACTGGGGACCCTATAGAAAGGAAAACAAGGAGCCTCCAGGATCAGACCAGTACTTTCTGCTGACTTGCTTCTTACTCACTTACATGATTCAACCAAATTAACAGAACCTCTAAATCATGCCTTAAGTTCTGCCAACAGAGTGCTAACCAAACCTACCCCTTGGCCATGAAGCAAGAGTCCTCAGTAGTCTAGGGAGCAGCTGGTTTGGGTGGGCTTGCTGGCTCTAGCCAAACAGACACAGGCAGCAAGAAGGGCCGGTCACGTGACACAGGGCAGCCAGACGCCAGAGGGCGTGGAAGGCGGTGAGCAGTGACTCGAAGCCCAAGGCCAGGGCGCCCACCGCACTCGGCTTTGCCTCTCTCCCTGGGCTCGTGGGAAGAGGGTGTCACTTTCTTGACTCCGAGGCATAATGGCTAGAATCCAGGTTCTCCTTCATGTCAGCAGGCAATCCAGTACTCTACTGAGTGTAAGTTTTTAAATTGAAGTGGAGAAGAGGGCACTCAAGGAATGGCTCGTTCTCCAGAAGAAGCGCATCTTTGCTAAGCAGTCGTGAGGTAAGGGAAGAGCTGCTTTGGACAGAGACAGGGGTGAGTGTGTGAAGAATGGTAACCCCGCACCTGTTTCTTCACTCTGTTCCCAGGGTGGGGAAGCGGGAGAGGCATCTGAGCAGGCCTACAGATCTCCGGTTCTAGTGCTGGCTCTAGAAAGAGGCTCCAGGGCCATGATGCCCCGTCCCAGGACCATGACCCCAAGGGCAGGGCTCGGGTTGCAGCTGCCACGGGGTAGACCCTAAAGTCAAGTGGACACAAGAAAGAAACAGGGTTTCTCATCAAAGCCAAGCAGGGGATACAGATGGAAAGATCCAGTAAGGAAAGACACGTTTGTGGCTCAAGATTGAGATGTCCTCTAACGTTTCTTCCAAAGGTTGTTTGCCTTCATATTTTATTTTAAATTTTCTTAATAAAGAGATAGTAAGGTAAAGAGAAGTCTAAGTTCATGCTTATAAATTTGGATTGAGCATTAGCCAAGAGCCAGAGCCAAAAGCCAAAAGTGGGGGTGGGGTGGGGTGCAGGAGCCCTGCTCCTTGGGCCTTGTAATCATGCAGGCCATCTGGAAGCCACAGGTCCATAGCACAGAGGCACCGACCAGGGTGGAAACTATAGAACGAGAGTCAGATAGCCCCCCTCTTCAAAACAGCTATTGCACATGTAATGGGAAAATGCCTATGTTAAGGTTTTCCCAGTTCAGGAAAATATACCTATTTATCCTCATAATCAGGCTTTCACTGTGTGTCTGTGCAGGGCTGTGGGCAAGGGTGTGACCAGACGGTGTCCCAAGAAACCCCCTCCCCTTAGCAGAAACATCCTGCTTCTGACCCTTCCCCATACTGCCTGAAGTTGTACCCTCAAAAGGGATTCCTTTGGGTCAAGAAATCTACTCATTCTCCCTCTTTTTAAAAAGCAAATTCTCCAGGGAGGAATCATTTGACCATTCACACCTTACTGGGAGTTACATCAGCTCAGAAAAGTTATGGGAAGTTTTCCTGGAAGAGAAGAGAAGGGCTATTTTGGACCGTAGAAGGCTGCCACGAGAGGAGACCCAGGAGGCTCTGGAGGCACAAAGGCCCCCGACGGGCGGACAGGTGGGGGAGCGGAGAGAACACAGCAGAAGGCCTTCTAGCTCTGCAGCAGCCCCTCTTCTGCACACAGACAGGCAGGGCACTCAGGGAAAATGGAAACCCAGAACCCAAAGGGGTCTCAACTGCCTCTCCCCAAAGCCTCAAGTCTGCCAGTTGGCACTGATGTCCTGACTTTGTCCAAAGATTGAAGAGATCATTCCAATATTAGGTGCTGGATCCGTCTTTCCTTGAATGAAATATCCAAAAGGTTAACTCTGACATCCTTGAGGGGCAAAATGCTATCCTCATAACCCCCTCCCCAAACCAGGCTGGGAGTCTCTTGCATAGGAAATGAAGTGGGCAGGCCTGGGGGCCCTTGCAATTCCTCTTTCTTTTGAGCCAGATTTTCTTGAACCAGATTATCTCATTCTGCCCTCCCTCAACCCAGAGGCTGTAGAAACACGCTAGGATCCTCAGGAAGAAAGGCGTCGGGGAGAAAACTCAACTTAGAGAAACATCCAGAAGGGAGAGAACCATGGGAGGACCCAGCAACCTCCCTGTCAGTGAAGGAGGTGAGAAGCTGCTACAGGGGATGTGGACTTGCCCACTTCTGCCCGCTGTTCTGCTCTAGGGGGCAGGCCCGGCCTGGGGAGAGCCAGCCCCCTCTAGAGCCAACCTGCCCACCCTTGATTTTTATCCTTTCTTGCCTTGCATGTTGTCTCAACTGCAGTTCCTGTTGGAAGGGCCTGACACGAATTAATAACAGAAAGAATCACAAGGACACAACAAGCAGGGCGAGCAGGGGAATGGAGAAGTGGAGGCAGGGAACGCTTTGGAAGAGAGCAGGTGCCTCCCAGCCTTGCACACCACTGCTTTCCCAGAGCAGCTGGGAGCTTGCCCGGCTTCCTCCTGACTGCGGACCGATGCAGTCCGTGTCTCTGCCTAGTTTCCTCCTGGGGGGTTGGCAGCTGTGGCCCCCAGACCCACCCCCAGGAAAGCCTTTCCCACGCTACACCAAGCAGGAGATTCTTGGGACCCCGCCTCCCTCTGGAGACCCCCCCCTAGTTCTCAGCTCCTGGTGGACACGAAGGAGGAGACAAAGGGTGGGTGAGATGCTTATTGGCCCCAGAGGGGCAGGACGCCGACCTCCCTCAGGGAAGACATGGAGGAAGTGGGAGGGCTGAGAGGGGCCCGAGGCTCCGCCTTGCGTAGCTGGGGAGGTGCTTTTTCTCTGAGACCCCAGTTCGATTTCCATGCCACGGGGGTGGGTTGTGAGGGCGAGCCCCTCCCTCAGGCCCCACCCCTCCGAGGCGCTCTGTCTTCTGGAATTCAGTATACGCACAGATCGGGAAACTTCATCTCGTAGACAGGGATGGAGTGGTTCTGAGGCTGGCCATAGGCTGCGGTGATGGTGCCCGATGGGCTTGGAGGGGGCCTGGGCAGGAGCACATGGAGGAGAAAAGCGTGAGAAAGGGGGCTCTGGGGTCCCACCCCGTGCAACCAAAAAGAGCAGCTAATTTGGGTTTTTCTTTGAACTGTCACTCCATGGGTTCCTAGGCTGCAAGTTCTAGAATCTTCTCGACTTGAAGTCTAGCTTCACTGCAGGCTCTACAGTGACATTGTTGCTTTAGAAAGTACCAGCCTGGGACACTAGGATCCCTGGCTCTTTTCTGGGGCTCACTGAGCTGTCTCTTTCTCTCTCTAGTCTTGCCTTCCTTGTCTGGGAGAGCTGGTGGCTGAGTCCAGCCCTGGAGACAGGGGCTGCAGGCAGGGAGGCCTGGAGCCAGGTATGAGAGGAGGATTCCGGAGCAGGGGTCCCCGCCCAGGGCTGCCACTTACCGGATGGTGATTTCGAAGATCTGATTGAGTTTGCTCTGCAGCAGCGATGCCTAGACAGGAACAGCGGGAAGTGAACTGGGGGCTCCCCCGCACCCATGCCCACTCTCATGGGCCCCGCTGTCCGGAGAACCCGTGGAGGTGGGGGGAGGGGAACCAGTGTGAGCTCATTTCTGGTGCTTATCTGTGCCTTCTGGCTGTGGGTTCAGATCAGGCAGGGCCACCCAGGAAGGCCTGCTGGGGACAGCACGGAGGCCGGGACCCCCAGGAGGGCCTCAGCAGGCAGTTCTTAAAGGGCCCTTAGTTCCTCCACGTGGGCCGTAGGGCTTGCTGGGCATACAGAGTCAGGAGGCTCAGAGCTAGTTTCGGATCTCTGCTTAACTTCCAAGGAGCAGCTGTGCCAAACTGGTGGGTTAGGGAGGATGCTCTCTCTGGTCCCTTCTGGCTCCAGCTCAGCCCACGTGTACAGAGAGTGAGACTGTGCATGTGTTCAGGAATGGGCCTCAACTCTGAGCTCATGAAATGAGCAGCATCCACCTCTGGAGATGGGACAAGAGGTGAGGATAACATAGGCCCAGACAAATCTATAGGTATTTACATATCCTATTATACTGTTATTACATATTATGATGTACTAGAAATGGAGATAATACATCTTATGTAATGGAAAAGAAAATAACATGTATTTTTACTGAGAGGAAAAAATTACAATAAAGTGGAAGTTATTTGTAGATTTGGGATGTTTACAATTATGTTTCATTGTTACTAAGATGGCCATTGTGACTAACAAATCCTAATCAATTTCAAGAAATGCATAGACATGAGTCTTTGTTTTTACTTATTTGGAACCTTCTCTTTCAAATCTCTTTTCCAGGGCCAGGCTGTTCCATTCCCCCTGCTGGGGTCCCCTGGCTGGAAGTGGGACCCTGTTGCAAATGTTGGCCATCTGTCCTCTGCTGCGGCTCCTTCCCCCCTCATCGGTAATGAGATGAGCATAAAGGCACGGACCTCACAGAGTTGTCATGACAATGACATAAGCTAAGCTGATAAATGTAAGATGCTCTGGCGTGTGCTAAGTGCTAGTTATATACGTGCTATTATAAGCATTACAGTCTGTCTGTCTGTCTGACGCAGGAGCTCTTCAGGTCAGGACTTCCTCCTTACAGGGAAATTACAAGATCTAAAGGAGTGTATGGCTGATAGCCATGCCTTTTGGTTCTTGGGGGAAACGATGTAGTGCCAGGGCATTGGTGGGATCTAAACCCTAATTTCTGGCTGACAAAAGTGCCAAGATCCCCTAGAAACTCAGCCCTGCTTGGCCCCCAAGGACTCACCCCTGTTATGGCTCACTCACCCGGGCCCCACAGTGTGCCGCGATCTCCTCAAAGGGTGCCTTCTGGAACTTCTCCACCACCTGTCGCCGCCGTTCACGTTCCTGCTCCTCGACTGCCACGCTGTCCACTGTGGCACAGAGAGCTGGGTCAGCCCTGAGGTCCTGCCCCGCTGGTGCGGGGCAAGATGGGTGGACCCCTCCAGGGGAGCACTGTCCATGACTGCGTTCTGGGCTCTGCCCTCTACTGATGAGCAGGGCGTGGAGGGTGTGGTGCCGTTACTTGGGCCCACGAAGGCTAGATCTTTCTCTGATTCAGCCTGAGGCTCAGCCCCTCTCCTCGTGAAAGAGTTTGAGAACTAGTTAAGTGGACCCTACAGCTGGGCTTTTAAAGCCCCGAGCCACTACGGCACCACTAGGACTCTCAAAGGAAGTTTCTGGAACCGAAAGTACTCTGGCACTAATTTGAAAGGGACGTCAACAGTGGAAAAGCCAGACAGGTCCCAAAAGCCAAGACAAGAGCTCGGCCCCTATGGCCCAGCAGTCCCAGGTTGTCTAGTTTAAGGCTTCTGCATATTCCTTTTGGTCTCCAAACTGAGTCAGCAAAAATAAAGAAGGGGGGGGTGAGACACGTTTACCCGTTAAGAAGGCAGAGCAGTACGCGCATTCAGAAGGAATACTACCAGGGACACCCCAAGTTAAAATGGTTTGGCATCTGAATATATAATTTGTCATCAGTTATCAGAAAAGTTCTCTTATTTGGAATACCTCATTGCCCCCTAATCCAGATAAAGGAGGTACGACTGCATTTTAAAATCTGTTGCCAATAACTATTAATATGATTTATTCTTCATATCTTTCGCTGGTCAACTTGTCACCATCCACCAAAAAAATCATCTAATTATTTACACAAAATCGCCTCCCTTCACCTCTGTGCTGAATCCCGCAGCGGGCTGCGCACACCCCTGCCTCCCCCAGGACCCAGCCCTGGCCTCCCCGCCAACTTACCAATGGCCTTCTTTAGCGTCTCATAGGTGATCTCCTCAGCAGGCACTCGCTGAGGGAGAAAGGACAGAACTGCTCAGAAAGGTGGGGTGGGGTGGGGGGGTGGCTCTGGCTTCCTCGGTTACCGGGCAGCCCCTTTGCTTCTCAGAAGAATGTCCCCATGGGCGGAAGCTCCCCCAGGACACCCACATTCTCACCAGGGTCTCTGAAGCTCCCCCAGCAGGTGGGCACAGAGCTGCCCGCTGAAGGACAGCAGTGGAGCGGGGAGGCCCAGTCCTCATCAGCGTGCGGGAGAATCACCTGAAAGAGCTCGCTGCCCTCCCCGCACCCCCCCTCCCCCCGGCTTGTCCCATTAAGCCCCGTGGGAGCAAAGCCCTGTGAAACTAAAAAAAAAAAAAAAAACTTCAGAGAAAGTAACAGAAAATATTGGCAGCAAGAGGAAGCAGTTGGCAAATACCTCAAATGTAAATTTTAAGAACTGAATAAAATTTCTGAAGACTCAGGATATCAAATTATCCACTGAGGTGATGTGAGTATTGACTAAAGGTCAGACATGTTGAGGTTGGCTCAGGGACCTGGGTCATAGGCTCTCAGCCCTCGCAGAGCCTATTAAAGGAGGTAGAAAATAATCAACTCAAAGAAGGATTACTCCATGGATGGTAGCCTCGGGCCAGAGGCTGAAAGCCGTGAAGACTTTGAACTAAGTCCCGGGGACCCAGGTATTCCCCAATAGACTCTGAGCTCCCTGAGGCAGGATTCATGATTCACTCCCAATCCATTACTTAAACAGAATGTTAAATGAAAGAAGCAGACACGGGAGAGAATGACTTCACTGATAGGAAGTTCAAGAAGTGACCTGAGTCAGGCTAGTGGCTCCTTTTGGGAAGGGGGTCTCTTGGGCAATGACAACATTCTCTCCCCTGATCTGGGTATGACTGCACGGATACATTCCTTTGGTGAAAATTCACTGAGCTGGACTTTTCTGATCTGTTTAGCATTCAGCAAATGCTCGTGTGAGGAGGAAAGGCCGGAGATGTAGGTATGGGCTACAGTCCTTTACGAAATGTTAAGTGAGCACTGAGTATGTGCAGGCTCTCGGCTGGGCACGTGGTAGAGACAGCACAGTCTGTCCGCGTGTGGGAATGACATGCAGAGAGAGCTGGGCTGAGCTGTCAGTCACTTCGAGGTTTCAGCCTCTGCACGTCCCTCCGTGCGGCCACTCAGCACTGACCACCGTGTGGGTGGCCGGGGAACCATGTGGTGGCCCAGAGAGACAAGGAAGACTGGTCAAGGGCAGGTATAGAGAGGCTTATGGAGGAAATGGGACCCAAGCTGAGCATGGAAGGGTAGGTGGTTCATGGGCGCAAAGGTGCAGAGGAAGGGACTCACATGGGGGATTACCAGCAAAGGCCCGGAGCTGGACGAGACCACACCGAGCGGGGTGGGGGTGCTGAGCAGAGCAGCCCGGCCCGGCACAGAGGCTGTCTGCCAGAGGGCAGCCCAGACTAGAAATGGCTCTGAATGCCAGGCACTGCGTTCGGAATTTGACCAAACCAGCATTTATTGATCAACTGCTATGAACTTGACATTTAAGGCTACAGGATTCTGGCAGGGCACGGTGCGCTGAGAGTGGAAAGAAGCGTAGCGTGGCTGAAGGGCACGGGGTGGAGGCCTCCACACCCCTGCTGTAGCTAGCAGGCTCCCCCTGAGCTAGGGGGACTCCCCAGGAAGGAAAGGAACCCATTCTGGTGACCCAGGGGACACTAGAGTGTAGGAGGCTCTGCACACAGGCAAGCATTTCTCCTCCTTCTGCGTCACTTTACTCAATTCCTGAGGGTCCCTTAACTCCTGGGAAGGGAGAATCACAACTATGGGGGGGACAGCAACCAATTCCCACCACAGTCCTGACACAGTTCCCTGTCCTGCGGAGCCGGCAGGCCTTGGAGGACACCTGGTTCAACCTCATTCCTCTCTTCCAATTCGCCTGAGTCAGAGCTTCCTTCCTTCTTCCAGGGGAAGGTTCCAGAAAAATGCCCCAATGAGAGAAGAGTTGGGAAAGTGACTGAGGGCACAGTTAGAGGGAGGCTTGGTCCTGACCCCAACGACTTCTCCTTACTCTGGTGCGTCTGGGGAAAAGTTCAGGGTTGAGGCTGTCCTCCACAGCTACCCCAGCACCAATGGGCAGAAACTGTCCCAGTTCTTCCCTCCTCCCATGGGTAGCCTCCTCACTTCCCCCTGAGGCTTCCTCACGTGTCTGTCAGTTCCCTGAACGGTGGGAGACCCCGTTACACATGAGTGCGCCGCATCTTATGGCTTCAACCCCTCACGGACCCTTCCTCTCCTCTCTGCCCTGCTCCCATATTTCTTTTTCATTTGTAGGAGTAAGTTGGGTCTCTCCACTGTGATTCCTTCTTCTCTCTTACTCATGGGCACGTCTGCTTTATTTTCTGAGGTAGAAGTATATCCCCAGCTAATATGGACAGAAATTAGATATTCACAGCCCCCAAGAGAAGATGGAAGAGAGATCTTCAAGCTGCAACTCCGTCTTTAAAAAAAGCACCTCCATTGATCTATCTGGAAGAAACACCGTGAAAGCTATTCTCGCCCTCATCTCTCCTGGTAGGTCTTCCAGTTTCCAACATGGTGCACATCTGCCTCCGGTGGGGATGGGACAGGACCACCAGCAAGCCTTTCAAGAGGGATTTGTATGACGTCGTCATGGGAGTGCGCGCATGTGCGCGCGCGTGTAATGTATATCATTTTTCCAGATGGAAATATCTATGATATACATGATGAGAGACAGTAAGAAAATGGGATATTTGAGGAATTTGCTTTCCATGCAACTTTAAATGTGCTGCGCAGTTAAGGGAGCCTGGAGCCGGGAGTGCCTGACCGCAGGGGGGCAAGAGAAGGTCCCCTCCCCTGGGGGTGCAGGACAGCACATCACTCACCTCCTCCTTCTCTGGGCTGTTCCTAGATTCTACCTCCACCTGCAGGGAAATGGTTTCTCCAATACTCTTCCTCTTGGATAAGCGATCCTCGTCTGGGAAAGGAAAGCCGAGAAGCTAGAGCTCCCAGTGCTCAGAGCGAGCCAGGCTCCTTACACCTTTAGCACCATCTCCACCCCCTCACCCCATCGCCCCCACCTTTGCCCGGCCCACAGTCCTCCGAAGGCTCAGGACACACTGAGGCTACAGCTGGTTTTTTGAAGGCTGCCAGCCTCCTCTGCCCACCTTAGGGTGGTGAGTTTTGCTTTTATGGCTAAGATCTTGAAATCATCGATGAACACAAAGAGGCTGCTCATGACCGGAAAGCACATCTCAACTTGCACAAGTAGCTGTCACTTGGGGAGCATTTCCTAAAGCGCATTTACTCTGCGTGCGTCTCCCACCAGCCCTTTAAGGCAGGTGTCGTTAATCCCTATTTACTAGTCAAGGAAAATGAAACTCAGAGATGCCAGGAGACTGGTCTAAGGATTTTCAGGAAGTAAACGGCAGAGAACTTGCACGGCCCACGTGTGCTTTTTTGGGCTCCCAGGGGCCTCTCCCGTCCACAGCCCAGCCTGTCTCATGGGCCACTTTCTCCCAAGGATCCGGCCCTGAGAAGAGGTGGGGGGGAACCAAGAGGCTCTCACCACAGATTTCCACTGCGTTTGTCCACTCCTGTGGGACACGCCAGGGGCACACAAGTCCCTGACACTCAGGCCCTGTCCTGGTGAGGAAGAGCCTGCTGCCAGAGCACCTACCTGTCAGCTGAGGGATGTAGGGCAGGCAGAGCCTGTCAGAATTGTAGCCGCTGCCCCCCAGGACTTCGCTGATCTTGCTCTGGCGGAAGAGGAGCTCAATCACTACTCCGTCAAGATTCTGGGACAACCTGGAAGACACAGAAGGAAAGGGGTAACTGGAGGGATTTCCTAATGACTTTCTTTATTATAAAAGGAACACTCGGGCGCCTGGGTGGCTCAGTTGGTTAAGCGACTGCCTTCGGCTCAGGTCATGATCCTGGAGTCCCGGGATCGAGTCCCACATCGGGCTCCCTGCTCAGCAGGGAGTCTGCTTCTCCCTCTGACCCTCCCCCCCGTCATGTTCTCTCTCTCTCTCATTCTCTCTCTCAAAATAAATAAATAAATAAAATCTTTAAAAAAAAAAAAAGGAACACTCATCCTACAAAATGACAGGGAAGCAGAAGGAAAAGAAAATCACCCATAGTCTCACTTTCCAGAGACAACATCTTTACATTTTGTGCAGAATGGTTGGGTCACTGACATCTATGCGCATGCATACACACACACACACACACACACACACACACACACACACACACATCACCACACCCCCTGAATTCCTGTTCTGTGCTCGATTTTATCTACCGATTGCACAGTGCATATTTCGCATGAACTCTTCTTCCAAACCGCTGTGGTGGAAAGGCCATTGTTAATAAAGCTACCCCCTATTGTTGGACATTTTTTTTTCACAGTATTTTCCTTGAGTTCCTCTGAGGCTGACGTGACACAGACTACAGTCCAAGGATGCCACCTGGATGGATCCAGTGTCTTGCAGGAACGACTCCTCCCGGATGCACGGCCCATGGGCTTGGCCAAAGCTCCCGGAGGTTACGTCACATACTCTATAGCACAACGCACTGACATGGCTCAAGGGGTGGATTATGGCCCCATGACGAAGGTCACACTTGACCCAGGACGTCTGGGCTGCAGGCAGGGTCCACTTGTGGCCCTTGAGCCCATAAAGGCCTCAGCCCCTGGCTTCAGACTGCCCCCACCTTCTCACACAGCTGCCTGGGGTGTCCTTGACCATGTCCCAAGTGTGCTCCTTACCTGGGCCTCTCCACAAACACATCCTCAGGAAGCATGTATGGAGCCTCCTTCTTCCTGGTCTCTATCACCTGGAGTTGGGAGGAACAACATAAGGGCTGGGGTCGACAGGGGGGAGGAGCTCCGAGCAGGCAGATGATGGCTCTCCCCTCCCCTGCAGGCGGTTCCTTCCTCCCACAGAATCCTGGGCAGAGCACCCTGCAGCTGGGCTTCTAAGGGAGAAACTCAGATCAACCCTCATAGCCGCCCGAGAAGCCCAGGCAGGCCGCTCAGGCCATCCCCAGTGACAGGTATGCATCAGGTTCCTCCAGAGGCAGGGGACTTAGCCCCCAAGAGACGGCAGCTTCTTGCTCCTGTGCCCTAATATTCCTATTTTCTATGTAAACACGAAAAAGGGAGCATAGATCACACCATGCCCCCAAGCCAGGTGCTTGAAAAAACATCCTGATGGCCAGTCACAGGCAGATTTTTGACAGGAAAAGTGAAAGTCGGTGAGATGGTGAGGGGTGGGAGGGTGGCAATCAAGCGCCGGCAGGAGGGAGCCAGCCAAGCTGCGGCTGTTGTCCAACCAGGATGTCTGGGCATATGGCCTTCCTGGGCCCCCTGCTGGCCCATGCTGGGGGGCACAGTGACACGGCACCTTCCCCCTGTCCCCCAGCACCCCCAAGCCAGCTGAGACCCGCGGTTTCTCATTTTAGTTCATTTTGCTTATTTTAAAGTTAATCCTAGACATTATATCATTCTACCTACCCATACTTCAGTATGTTTTGAAATGTCTTTTGCGGACAACTGAGAACATTTGATTATAAACTGGGTATTAGATAATACCGAGGCGTTGTTGATAGCTTAATTAGGCATGTTAATAGCAGAATGCTTATGTAGGAAGGTGTGCGTATTTTTCACACACAACACTGATATCCATAGGGGTAAAATGATAGGATAGCCCGAGATTTGCTTTGAAATAAGACAAAGGGAAAACGAGATAAAGCAAACGTGGGAAAACCTTCCTGTTTCATCTGCATGATATACGGATGTTCACTGTTCTCCTCACACTGCTTTGGTGATATCTGAAAACTTTCACAATAAAAACTTTAAAAAAAAAAAAAGTAGCGTTAGTCCCAAATGACAAGAGAGGCGTGTGTAGCTGGGCTTCCGGGAGCGGGGGCGGCACAGGGGGGGCGGGGAGGAGAGGTGGGCAGGTCACAGGGGAGCAAGGGGCCCAGGTTCCTGCGTGTGGCCGGCCCCACCGTGCTATGGGGTGTCACGCAGCACGAAATGCTGCTTCTAGTAAGTAACTTCCCACTGTCCCTCACTGTTCCGTCAACCCTTCCTCAATGCCTAGACTAGGCACGGGGCTTGCGCAATGAAGGACAAGTTGTTCTGGGGAAACCCAGAGCCGAGGGCCTCCTGAGCGCTCAGGGCGGTGAGGACACCAACCTCATGGGTGTGCTGGCAGAAGGCAGGGACTGCTGTGAGCTGGCTGATGAGGTTCAGGTAGGCTGCGCCCAGCGCATACAGGGCACATCGGTTGTACACAGGCAGGTTCTCTTCATTGACCTGGGCCACGTCCTGTGGCAACAAAGAGGGGCCTTGGAGTTTTCCAGCTGACAAATTATATTGGCGCCCCGACCCCCGCCCAACGTCTCCCAACCTTCTTTAGAGAGGGCCCATCTCTTTAGACTAAGCCTTTTTCAGCATTTGTCCCTTAACTTCCTGGGAGACAGAAGTCATCCTCGGTAAAGTGGAAGTGAATCATCCCGAGAACAATCCATGAGCTGGGAGCTCATAAGTGCTTGAGTAAAGGGGTGATGACCTCATCCTCCACTGTGCAGTTCCAGCTTTGGTGACCTTGACTGTCCAAACCCTCATCACTAATCCTACCTCTAGAATGCTGTGTCCTTGAATGATTCTTGGGGGATGGGACTGGTTTGCTAAACTGGGTCCACATGTTAAGTTGAAAGAGTTGCGACAGTTACTAGGGATGGGGATACAGAGGAATCTCAAATTCTAGAGTGAAGACCATCATAGCTGTTGGATTGGCCTTGCAAGATTTAGCACGGGTGGCCTAAGATTCTCCACCACCGAACTCCCAGGTTTGCCATCATTCCTGCTCCTAGGTAGGATCTGAAGTCACCTAGCTTCAGGACCCTGGAGACGCCGGTCTTTTGAGGTCTGAAGGACCCACCCCAATCCCCAGCATCCTTGAGAGTACACTTCCACCCAGAAGGACTCTGGAAGCCTGAAGCCCTATCTAGTGAACACTGGCTTTCTAAGAGTCATGACAGAGGCTTGTTGAATCTCCAGGTCCCCACGCATGGGAATACGTAATTTTTCATATGGGAATATGTAGTTTTCGTAAGTGCTTGGGGTGATTCTGAGGCACAGCCAGGCTTGGGAACAAGACGATCTATGGACAAAGTGTGTTTTGGGATCACTCAGGGTTTACGAGCACCCTGTTCGTATTCCTTGGAGTCTCATTCAAACCTCGTGAGACCTGAAATACTAGGGACTAAAGGGTGTCTTTGAAAGATCCTGTTCCCTGGGTCTCCTTTGGCCTGAGGATGGGCGACAGCCATGAATGAAGCGTTCTTGGGTGGTTCCCCAAACAGAACCATGGCTTGTGGTCCCTGGAGGAACGGGGAGCCCAGGGTGCCGCATTCCCGGGCTCTGAGACAGTTGCTGAGCAGCCGCTCGTCGGTGGGCTCATTAGTGCCCGGCCCACCTGCTCGCCTGCCCCAACCCCAGCCCCCACGTGCTGCCCACACCCGGCCCCACCTGAACAGCCAGCACCAGGCGGATGAGGTCCACCACCACCTCCTCATTGGCTAGCTCAATGCTGACGAGCGCCAGCAAGCTGTAGAGCGCCTCGTAGTGCCTCTGTATGTTCGTCTCCTCCTTACAGCTCAGGTAGATGTGTCTGTAGAGCTGCTGGGAGTGCTGGGCATGCGGGAAGGGGGGGCAAGGCCGCAGTGGGGAGGGGTGCAGGCGGGAGGGGCAAGGAGAATGGGAGGAAGACCAATCTGCGGGTGGTGCAGCAGCTGTGTGTACCCCACCTCCACCCTCAGGGAGAGGGAGCCTTTTCTCTCTCTCTCTCTTTTTAAAGTTTTATTTATTTAAGTAATCTCTACACCCAACGTGGAGCTCAGACTGATGACCCCGAGATCCTGAGTCGCACACTGATCCCACTGAGCCAGCCAGGCACCCCAGGGAGAGGATGCCTTTAAAGCAGACCCCAGTGGAAGCAAACGTGCAGGACACGTTTAGAGAAGGGTGGACGCAGTGAAACCAGCAACAGAAGCTGCTGCCCAAACCCAGCTGGGTTTGGGAGAACACAGCCTGTAGCCCAGCCCGGGCCGGGCTCACCAACAGTGCTCCTGACTCTGGCCTCGGTGTTGAGTGTGACCCTGGGGGCTTGGCCCTACCACCCCCGAGGGGTCGGCTGGTCATCCCGACTAAGCGTGCTCAAAGAGGGAGCCTGGAGACAGGGGTCAGCCCTGACTGGGGGGCTGGGAGGTGGGGGTCCACAGAGCCCGGCCCACCTGGGGTTCGCTGGGGCTTAAGGTCACACTGGCTAACCTTCTTCATGAAGACGGTGTCCTGTCGGGAGCACTTGTCCACTTTCAGCTTCAGGACAGAGATGTCACTGAGGGTACTGGGAAGGGACACGAGGGGCCACCTTAGCCCTGTGCAAGGCCAGCCAGAGCTCAGGCGGTGTCACTGAGCTTTATCCCAACATCGTTAGTTAGGTCCCAGCCTCCCATCCCCTGCACTGGTTCTTAGCCCAATCTCCCACTTTCCTCAACCGCTCTCAACTGCTCTGTCCTGCCCAGTTTTTCTTGTCCCTTTTTCTTAAATACTGATCCAGATTATTCTCTTTCTGCCTTCCCCTCCACCCCTACCCCAGTCTTTACTGATAAACCTGCAGCCCCCTCCTTTCCCCCCCACCCACTAACTCCCTTTAGTACCTGCTCTTCATCTCCCCCATCTCCAATCCACCCCCGGCTCTCTGGGAAAGGCGCCCTTCCATCTCTCCTGCCCCCGCAGGACCCCAGGGTCAATGTCCGTGATCAGCTCCTGGTAGTTCCCACTGAATAAGGGAATTGCCCTCTCACCTGGGTGTGAGACCTACCGGCGGTCTTCTCCCCCTTCACACACCAACTGGAGGGGAGACCCCAAGTTCACCTGATGGTAGAGAACTTGTGGCGGTTGCCATGACGATCGATGAAACTGATGAGAATCTCTAGAACAAAGAGGCGGATCTCTGCGTCCTCCATGAGGGCGGTGGAGAGAAGGCGGTCCAGGAAGTTGCTGGGCAGGGCTGACATCATGTTGTTGCAATGGAAACCTGTGGATACCTGTGAGGGAGCCCAGCATGGCCGAGCTTAGGAAGGCTGGTACTCCCAGTGCGGTGAGGAGATGGACAGCCGCCGGCAGACCTGGGGTCTGACGCACCCAACTTCTCTCGACATCTCCCAGCCCAGCTCCCTTGTCCTCCACCCGAGGCCCTGGACGCCTGAGGCAACTTTTTTGAACACGCCAACAACCACCCGGACAAGTTTTAGGTTGTTAAAAGCAAGCAAGGAGGAAGCACTAGAGGGTAAGAGGAGCCAGGGAGCCTCTGAACCTAACGTTCCGGCTGTCAGGGCCCAGCTGATGAACACTCACCATGAACACAATGCTGCATTAAGGGCACGGACAGTCACACAGAGATAGAGGGACAGTGCGAGAGCTTACGGCTGGGCTGAGGAGCCACAACCCACACACATGCAACACCCGTTTCGTGACATCTCTTCTAGGTGCTCATACTGGGGGGTCTTCGGATTAAAGCCAGGGGGCGTCAGTAGACACAGCATCCACGATGTTGTTAAAGCATACAGAAGCAGCAAAACAACCCCAAAGTTTATAGCAGCAGTGTCCACAATAGCCAAACTATGGAAAGAGCCCAGATGTCCATCAACCCGTGAATGGATAAAGATGTTGTATATATATACAATGGAACATTACTCAGCCATCAAAAAAAACTTGCCATTTGCAATGATGTGGGTGGAACTAGAGGGTATTATGCTAAGTGAAATGAGTTAATCAGAGAAAGACCATTATCATATGATCTCACTCATATGTGGAATTTAAGAAACAAAACAGAAAATCATAGGGGAAGAGAGGGAAGAATCAAACAAGGTGAAATCAGAGAGGGAGAAAAACCATAAGAGACTCTTAATCACGGGAAACAAACTGAGGGTTGCTGGAGGGGAGTGGGGGGGGAGGATGGGGTAACAGGGTGATGGACATTAAGGAGGGCATGTGATGTAATGAGCACTGGGTATTATATAAGACTGATGAATCACTGAACTCTACCTCTGAAACTAATAATACACTATATGTTAATTAATTGAATTTAAATTAAAAAAAACACAAAAGCAGCAAAATAATATTTATTGTTAAGTTCATATTGCAAAACAATGCCTTTGATGATTCAGCAAGCCCTAGGAGATCTAGCAAAGCCTGGTGGCATCAAGAATAAACATCAGCTGAAGGGGAATGTGAGTGCACCCCAAACTGTCACCTTGATAAGGAGCTGGGTACAGTGAGGGTAAACTCAGCAGAAATGGCAGGAGTACACAGATCAAGGAGGTTACCAGATGTGGGCAGTGCCAGCATGAAAAGCCTTTATAAAAACACAGTGACATGAATGGCGTGCGCTCAGGAGAAGGGAGGGAGGCAAGGCGTGAATGGGAGCGAGTGGGGTGTGCAAATCAGCATGGCTGGGACACAGACTGGGGCTGAGGGCTGAGATGGGGAGTCAGGGAGGGGAAAGGGCCTGCGGATCTCCCACCGTTAGTCTGAGAAGTTTAAAATCTGGAGGCACATTCATTGTACACTGACACCTACTGTTTGGAAAGGAGCAACATGTGGGGAGAGCAGCATTTCTAGAAAATTCTTCTTGTGGTTGTATGTATGATTGGTGAGGACAGATGACAATAAGGGCAACCATGAGGGGAATCTAGTTGTGAGATGTCCAGAGCTTAGGCAGGGCTGTGCGTAAGAATCCCCGGGGAGCCTGTTACAAATAGATTCCAAGACCCCATTCAGACCCATGGCTCCAAATCTCTAGGGAGTCCATATAGATTTTAACAAGTTGGTCATGAGATGGCATTTGAGGATAATGAGTCTGGACTCCAGTGATGGCCGCAAAGTTGGAAAGAATGTAAAACACCAAAGAAGGGAGAGAGAGAGGTTGGGGGACTTAGGTGGGCACAAGTTCTGAGGGGGAAGCAGGTGGAAGGGACCTAGGGAGGTACTTGGAAGGGGAAAAAAAACAGGAACCAAAGATGCCATCCCAATTCAGAGATAATGTTTGAGTGACAAGGCTATCAGTAGCTGATAAGGAACCTCTGTGAAAAGTAGGAACAGTGTCCTGCCTGCTCTGGTTGATCCAGCTCTGTGGGTGCCCAGACTGCTAGTGAGTGTAACACAGGGTGGATTTTAGCCCCCTAGTCACCCTTCAGCCAGGACTATTTGTGCAGTGTGCAACCTGCACAACTGTATGTGGTAGGCTTCTCTTGGTCCCTTGGAAGGAGCTGCCTCGTGTAGAGGCAGAGCAGGACTGGAGACAGGAGAGGCTCACCTGAAGGAGGGATTTCAGCAGCATAATCTGGGTCAGCCGGTTCCTGTTCTCTCTGTAGACCAGAGACACAAATACCAGGATGGTGATGTGGGCAGAGACCCCACGCTTGCCTGCCCAGGTCCCCTTGTGATTAGATTCTCCATGAGGCTTGTTACCCAGGACAGTTGACTTCCAGAGCCAGGAAGCAGACCAGAGAATTAATGGCTTGCCCCAAAGGTGGGAGGTAGTTATTGGTGGGGCAGCCTGAGGAATTGTTGTGGGATCCAAGGCCCCCACTAAAGGCTGCTGAGGGACTTGAGAGTAGAAGAAAAGTGAGGGCAGGACCAGGGAAATTAAAGTGGAGAAAGGAGTCCTCGAGAAAACACGGGAAGGGAAGCTGGGGTGGAATTTTGGCCGATAGAGGAAAAAGGGGAGCAGGGCTGGTAGGCTTACCCCGTCCTGCCTGTCTCCATGGGATGATGCAGGGAAGGCAGTGGCACCTTGCTCATGATGAAGAGGATCACCTCGGAGCGCTGGTAAGTGGGCAACGTGCTGGCAAAGGAGCCTGCAGGGAAGAGATGGGGGACAGGGTTGGCCCAGGTGAGGGTGCCAGCTGCCAGGGTCTCCGCTCGGCCTCGCAACCGAGTAAACTGCTGCCCAGAGTGCGGGCTGCGTCTCTAGGGAGACAAGACGCAGAGGGAAAACCTAGACGACGCCAGAGGCCTCCTCCCGCTCCGGTGGCTTCACTTGGCATCCCGCAGGCTGCGGTTAGCGCCTCTGGGAAGGAGAGGGGAGCGCCAGTGGTGCTAAGCCAGGAAGGCTCTGAAGTGATGAGCTCTGCAAGCTGGAGAGGTGGCGGTCCCGTTCTCCCCGTCCGCATCCAGGTGCGCATCCACGGCCTTTTCTCCCTTTCCTCCCTCTTGCCTCTCCTCTTCCTCGCTCCACCCGCCCCCCCCCCACACCACCCCGGCCCCATCGCTCCATTGTGGAAGCACCAGTCAGGCCTGATGGGGGCTGGGGTGCGGAAGGAGTTCGCCGCTCTCAGCCTCTGATCGGACGTCCAGCCTGAGCAACCCATGGACGTCCTTCTGTGCTCTCCGTCAGGCCCGACCCAGGCCGGTCCGAGAGCTGTGCGCGCCGTGGACTGACTCCATTTCCTCCAACGTCCGCGAGTAACACAATCCGAGCGGGTCACCTTACAGTGCCCGGGCGCTGTCCTGGTGGAGGTCACCCCCTGCCCCACCCAACCCGGACGGACTCGGCAGCGCCCGGCCCCGCCCACCACCGGGCCCCGCCCACCCAGGCCCCGCCCCGGGTCCCACCTATGGTCTTGATGACAGCCTCCTGGAACATGCGCTCTTCGTGCTCCTTGATGATCTTGGTGCCCAGGCTGATGGCCCCGTCGTAGCTCCCGGTCAGGGCGTAGTCGATGCTGAGCCGCAGCTGCCTCAGCAGAGTGTTGAACATCTCCAGCACCGTGGGCCCTGAGCGCAGCAGGGGTGGGGCGTGGGGAGGGGGGAGACCCGAAATCCAGGGCTGGCATCCCCCCCCCCATTCTCCCCTGTCTTGCATTCCAGCCAGGGGCTTCCTCTGCCCCCTGCCTGCGCTCCCTTGTCCTTTTCTGGCCGGGGAGGCAGCCTCCCGCCGAGGGCAGGGCTTTGTCCTTGGAGGCTTCCCGGCCCCCACGCTGTCAGTCAGGGCCCCCTTACCGACAGAGCCGGTGGCGGCAATGACCGCAGCTTCCGACAGGACCTCTACGATGCCCGCGCGCACCGTGGCCGCGCTGCGGCTATTGGCATCCAGGTGGCTCAGGAGCTGCTGGATAACCAGGTGGGAGTGCTGCGGCTGGGGGGAGGAAGACGTGCTGGCCCCAAACAGCAACCCCCACACGGCCTCTGCGCCAGGGCAGCCCTCCGCTGGGACCCAAAGGCCGGCGTGGACCAAAGTGAGGTCCAGAGGCCAGTGGCCACTGGAGGTGGCGCCCACGTACCCTGGTTCCTTCTCCTCAGTCCCTCCCCCTTGGTCCCACATGAGCAGAGCCCCATCCCAGGGACGACCTTGATTTCCAGAGTTGCCCTGGGCCCTTCTACCTCAAATGGGTCAAAAGTCAATTTTGAAAATACTGTCTTTCTTTTCATTGTTCCTGGGTCCCACGTCATACTGATAAGGGCCACAACAGGCCGCCGGGTTTAGTCCAGTAGCCCGATTACACTGGGATAGTACGGACATCGGGAGGAAGTGCTTAGTAAGCAACGTCACGAGGCTGTGGCAGCCGAGTGTGGTCTGTGGGCTTGTGTTTTGCATGAGTTTTTCATTTACTTTCTCTAAGAATTCTTTTAAATTGTATTTTATAAACTATTGATCTGTGCTGTACCCGAAATAAAACTAAAACCTGCCCTTCCTCACAGCTAGATGAAGTAGGATGTCGGGACACCTGGGGGCTTGGGGGAAGTCACAGAGGACAGCTGGCTTTCTCCTTTAGCACACCGGCCTGCTCCCAGAGGTGCCCTCGGCCAGGGAGACAAGCTGCACCCGGAGCTGCCATACCTGAATTGAGTACATGATGATTTTAAAGCAACGGATGGCGAACACCTTGGGTTCCCAAAGAGAATGGTTATCCAGGTGGCTGCGAGGGAGAAAACACAGGGGGATGGCTAGGAAAGGCAAAGTGATGGCAGGGAGGAGAGACAAGCTTGAGGGGAGAGGGACCTGCCAAGAGACCTAGCCCCTGGCAAAGCTCCCAGGTGGGGAAGGGCTTCCAGGTGGTGGTGAGGGAACGGGATGAGGGACCCCGGGGCAGTCCCGGCGCGGGAGCTGGAGGGAAGCCAAGAACAGAGTTCCGCAGCTGTGGACTCAGGAGTGAAGCCAGGCACCTTCCTCTACCTCCTACCAGCACCTCTCCCCAACACCGCACTCAGCCACTGTGTGGTAGCTTCTGCTGTCACACGGGCACACACAAGGGACCGTCTTGCACACAGCACTGCCACCATAACACGTCTTTCCCCTCTCCCTGAGTCAGCAAGATGCCAGGACCTGAAACAGTTCTCTGAGGGCTGGGGCACAGGGGGGTGGAGGGGACTCACATGAGAACAGGCTTGATGGCATTTTTGATGTTGCCAAAGGCGGCCCGGCCCAGCAGTTCCCGAAGGCACCTCTCAGCCAGCTCTGCTGGGTTCTCTTTCTCCTTCTCTGGTGCTTGGAGGGGCGAGGGAGAGCGGCTGTGGAAACAAGCAGCGTGTGGGTGGGCAAGTCAGTCTTTGTGCAGCCTGAATTCCTTTTTTCTTTTCTTTTTTTTTTAATATTTTATTTATTTATTAGAGAGAGAGAGGGCATAAGCAGGGGGACTGGGAGAGGGAGAAGCAGGCTTCCCACTGAGCAGGGGTTGGGGCTCAATCCCTAGACCCTGGAATCATGACCTGAGCCAAAGGCAGACGCTTAACCGCCTGAGCCACCCAGGCGCCCCAGCAGCCCGTGTTTCTGCACTGCATCCTTGCAAGTGGTGCACCACGACAGGCAGGAATTTGACGTGGGCTGCACGAGACAATGTGGGAGATATCATGGCTGTCAGAGATGAAACAGGGTAAAGGAGCCCAGGGTGGAGGAAGATCAGGGGAGAAGGGGTCAAATTCTCTTTCCGGAAATCCTTGAGGACACGTGCCCCCGCGGGAAGGACAGATAGCCTGCACATCATGGGCCTGGGGAGGCACAGACCAGAGTGTCTCCTTGCCCCAAAGCCTGGAAAGGAAGAAGATGGGGCGTGAAGAGAGGGAGGCAGAGTAATAGAGAAAACAAAAGAAAGTGGGAGAGAGAAGGAGGGAGAGGAAAAAGAAAGGCATGGCAGTTGGTTCAGTTGTGACTCAGTGATACCTAAGTCACAGGGGCTGGGCCTGGATCTGGACAGAGGAAGGAACCTCAGGTGTCTGGTGGCTGAGACCACCAGAGACCACAGGCGAAGCTGGTCAAGGAGGTGTAGTTCCAGGAACAGCCACCAGAGGGAACACTTACTTCCCACGCTCGTCCCCAGCTCCACAGGCTCAAAGGAGTCAGAGGGAGGGGGGAACCTGCTATTCTCTCACCCGGCGCCATGCACAGCCCAGGTGGACAGCAACACAAGTCTTTCACTGCATCCCGTTTTACAGATGGGAAGAGCGAGGGGCAGGGACAGACTGAATCCCCTGTCTAACGGCTCCCAGATTAAAACCCACTATCTGCAACTTGGGTCCAGGGGCTGCTGGCTGGTCAAGCAGGTTTTAAGGACCTGAAATACCATTAGGAAGTGAGGGAGGAAGGGAAAGTCCTCAGTTAACTGGAGCCATGAAAGGCGCTTTAAAACCTCCTTGGCCTGCTGCTTTCAGAGAGACAGAGGTAACCCGACTCTTGGTTCTTTGTGTTCTTACCAGCGCACGCTTACCCCCAGGGAGCCCAGCATGGTTACTGTCCTTCCTTCATGAACGCAGACCTTAGGGGGTGCAGCAGGCTGGCAGAAGGCCAGACCCAAGGCTCCTAGGGAGCTGGATTTGGACTCATTGCAGAACAAGCCACAAAAACCAAGATCCCTGGCCTTTTGGTTAGGCTTTACCAGCCAGCCCAAGCCCTGTGGTTCCCAAGCAGATGGCAAAGGCAGCCTGGGAGGGTGGTACATGGCCCGAGCTCTAGCCTCGCCTGCTTCCCGAGCTCCTGCTTACCTCTCTGCCTCCTCTATGTGCTGCAGATTGAAAAGCAGCGACGGGACAATTTTGTCCATGTGCTGTGGGTCCCAGATATTGGCTTGCAATTCATCATTCACCGTCTTCCTCACCACCCCTTGCAGACCTTTGATGCCTGACATTCTGATTCTGGAAGAAAAAGGGCAACAATGGAGCCATGAAATCCTCTGGCCCTGAGAAGCCCAGCTTCTGTGGCAAGGGGAGGAGCACGGTGTGGGGACTGGGGATGCATTCGTCCATCCAAAGGCAGAAGGGAGCCCACCTTCTATCCTTCATGTGACTCAGCCTCCTGGCCGGCTGGCTTCCTGTGCGGGTGGGCGTGAGCCCAGGAAGCCACGACCTCTGGCCCATCCTGGAGATTGCCACACTGCCCTTGCCTGGTACCACACGGGCTTCATCCCTACACTGCCAGTTGCCCCAGGCTCCTCCTCTTTAGTACCCCGCTGGGTTGGTTCCAGCTTGAGCCCAAGATATAAGGGCTGAAAGTACTGCCAAGAACTGATGAAGCAGAATCCAGGGCTATGAGCAAGTTACAGTGGGGAGGGGAGGGGGGATCTGGAAGGAGAGACACAGAGCTGCCAGATTCTGGGCACAGAGAGGTCTCAGCTGGGGCTAAGCTGGCTGAGAAACCAGGAAATCAAGTAACAGCACAGAGGAGGCCCCTTTCACCCCCCCCACCCCACCCAGTCCCACTGTGCTGACCCAGGGTCCCTGTGGGAGGGGCCTCTTTACTGGCTGTGTAGTTCAGCCCCAAGTCTCTTTTTTTTCTTTTTGTAATCAAACTTTTTTCTTTTTTTTTTTTAAATATTTTATTTATTTATTTGACAGAGAGAGAGAGAGAGAGCAAGAGAGCGGACACAAGCAGGGGGAGTGGGAAAGGGAGAAGCAGGCTTCCCGCTGAGCAGGGAGCCCGATGTGGGGCTCGATCCCAGGACCCTGGGATCATGACCTGAGCCGAAGGCAGACGCTTAATGACTGAGCCACCCAGGCGCCCCTCAAACTTTTTTTCTGATTATAAAATAATACATGCCAATTATAGAAAAGTATAAAGATTTACCCCTACGATCACCATTCAAAGGGAACCATTACTGGCATTTTGGTGCCTTTCTTTTCTTCTGTGCATAAGACATAACAGAATTAAGAACTTGTTCTGGCTTTTTCTCCCCATAACATTCTATGATAAGCATTTTCCTCTAACATTAACTCTTCGTAAACATGCATGATGTACCATCATAAGAACTTTCTCAACTAGTCCCCTATTGGCCATTTAGGTTCTAAACTTTTTGCTACTGTTAATAATGCTGAGATGGACATTACCAGATAAAATACTTTATAACATTTCAAATCATGGCCATGAGGGGAATTAATGAATCAAAAGGGAAATTATTTAGATAAAATAATAAATCTTAAAAAAAAAAAACAGGTGAGAAATGCAAGGCTCCCAGCACTGCCTGGTGCTCTGCCCACGCCCGGGCACACACTGCAGGAGAACGCCATCCCCCATCCTCACCGAGCTGCCCCAGCACCGGGGGCCTCACTGTCAAGATCTGTTCTAATCTATGCCTCAGAAAAGTCTTCACATCTTGTAGCTATTTCAGTTCAGATTCTTTTAATGATTATTGGAGTTGAGCCAATCTGAATGTTTAGTTGCCCTTTGTATTTTCAGTTTTAGTTTTAAGTGCGGCTACCGGGGTGTGACCCTGGGCCTTACCTGACGACCATAACTGTCTTGAGAGCAGGAAGCCCTGGCCCAGGACCTGTGAGGTCGGGACAAGGGGCAAGGATCCTTGGGGAGACCTCACTTGCTCTGATCCTGCTCCCTGGTCAAGACGCTGAGCCAGAGGCTATGCAGACTTAAGAGCGAAGTAACTGGAATATTATCCCACTCACTATTCTTACTCTTGGTTCTGAGTTACAACGTACTTCCTAATGCACAATAAAAATACATCCCAAACATGCTGGACACCTATGTCCTGCCCAAGAGAGCCTGGCTGGCAAGAAACCAGGCCTGATGGATGGGCCATTTCCTCCCTAGGGCTTCCTTATGTGTGAATGTGAATTAATTCAATCTGATCAGAATGTCTTCCACATAATACACATTTTATTCCATGACATCTGAAGCTGACCCTTTCAAAATAAATTCCAAAAGACCAGACCTGCAGAGAGGCCTGTTCCTCTTGTGGCTCCTTGTCATGCGCTCAGTGGAGGCCTACCCAAGAGCAAGGGGTCTGGGGAGTGTCTGAACCCAAGGGGACCACACACACACACACACCCACACACCCCAGCATGCACTTATTTACAAGACCCAAGGGTTGTTCTTGGAAAGGGGCTCTGGGCTCTGCTGAGGTTGTGAATGAACAGGGGGATCTCAGGGAAAGGGGTGCAGGGAGGCTGTGGAAGAGAAAGACAGAAAGAAAAAGGATAACTGATGCTAGAAACACCTGTCACCCTGGCAGAACGTCCTTTCAGGGTTGGCAAGTACTGTCTGTGGGTGCTAACAGCCCTGCCCAGTTGCCAGGAGCAAATGTCAGCCACCCTCCTCCCCATGTGCCGCACTTCCCAATGTCACAACACAGGGCTGCTGGTGTCTGCTTCTGTGCCTTCCTTTCCGCCGTGTACTGTGTGTGTGTGTGTGTGATTGTGCAGGTGCTATTGCGTATGTGGGGTGTGTGTGATTGTGCATGTGCTATTGCGTATGTGGTGTGTGTGTGATTGTGCATGTGCTATTGCGTATGTGGTGTGTGTGTGTGATTGTGCATGTGCTATTGTGTATGTGGGGTGTGTGTGATCGTGCATGTGCTATTGCGTATGTGGTGTGCATGTGCTATTGCGTATGTGGTGTGTGTGTGATCGTGCAGGTGCTATTGCGTATGTGGTGTGTGTGTGTGTGATCGTGCATGTGCTATTGCGTATGTGGTGTGTGTGTGTGATCGTGCATGTGCTATTGCGTATGTGGTGTGTGTGTGTGATCGTGCATGTGCTATTGCGTATGTGGGGTGTGTGTGATCGTGCATGTGCTATTGCGTATGTGGGATGTGTGTGTGATCGTGCATGTGCTATTGCGTATGTGGGGTGTGTGTGTGATCGTGCATGTGCTATTGCGTATGTGGGGTGTGTGTGTGTGATTGTGCATGTGCTATTGCGTATGTGGGGTGTGTGTGTTTGTGTGTGATTGTGCACATACTATTGCATATGTGGGGTGTGTGTGTGTGTTTGTGTGTATGGCGGCACAAGGGCTGTCCCCTCTGCTCCCCCTTCTGAAAGCTCAGCACTGCCTGAGTGACCAGCACTTCTTACGGCCACACCTGGCTCCAGTCCTGCACCTTCCCCAGCACCTGCTCCCAGACATGCCCCAACTGCTCCAGCCTCTTCTGTCTCTTTATAGCCCATCTGCGGTCAGGTGGCTATGGCAGGGCCAATGCTGGGGAGAGGACAAGGGGCTCCTTCCTCCAGGGGCCCCCACTACTCATCGGAGACCCTGGGGTAGCACCCTTCCAGAGTCCATGACTATTTTAAGAGACGGGGGCCTGGTGAGGCTGGGATACTGCCAACCGCTCACAGGGTGACCTGCCCTGGAGACGTTCCGCAGGCTCACAGCTTTGGGAACTGACTCCCTGTGGCATGGAGGGGTTCACTTCCAGTTCCTCCAACCCAGACCATCAGCTGTGGCGACGAGCTGTTGTTTCGGACACGCAGGGCTCCCTGACCCCCCTGTTGCACAAAATGTGGCAGGTGATGTACTGGGGTGATGAAGGAAAAAGCCAGCAGCTGAGTTCTGGAACAAACCGCTGGAGAGTTGGGCTGCTGTGGGCATGCTGGCCCCGTGTCAAGTCTCCTTGCTCAGGCTCCTCCTGCCCTCTCCCTTCCCTTCTCCTTCCTTCTTTGTCTCCTTTGAACATATTCTCCGGTTTCAGATAGCCTCCCCGAGTTGATAACACACCCTTTGTGTGCAGAGACCCATTTCTAATCGTTCTGCACCGAATCGCTCCATGACAAGACTCAGCACAGAACACCAATTCACTGCTTCCTGGCCTGCGCACCACTCCAGCGGTCTGACGCTGCGTCCCGCTTTATCTTCTGTCGGCATACATTCACGTAAATGTCTTTGGGATTTTATTTGAGAAGTTTTCTTTCTATGTTGATAAGTGTGTTTCTGTGAGTTTAAGAACTTGATAAGTTTGAGTCTGTGAATGTAAAAGCGTATTCTGTAATTCAAGATGTTTATCTGAAAGCATTCACTCTTGGCACCTGGCTGGCTTCGTCGGTAGAACGTTCGACCCTTGATCTCGGGGTTGTGAGTTTGAGCCCCACGTTAGGCATAGACATTACTTAAAAGAAATAAAATCTTAAAAAAAAAAGAAAGCATTCATTCATTCACTCATTCATTCACTCAACAACTGTTTTTTGAGTGCTTACTGGTCCCCAGGCAGTGCGGCAGAGATGCAGCAATGAACAAAACGATGCCTCCTGGCCTCCCAGAGTTTACATTCTGCTGGGGGGACGGGCAATGAGTAAGAAACAATAAGCGTGTTTTGGAGCGTGTCTGAAGGGGACTGTGCTATGGGGGGATAACTGAGCAGGGCGAGGGAGAAGTGGGTGTGTGGGATGTTTAAGAGAAGGTGGTGTTGACCAGCGGTTATTTGAGCAAGGGCTTTGCAGGGGGAGAGCAAGTGAGCTAGACAGATCTACGGAGGAAGCATTCCAGGCACAGGAACAGATGGTGCAAAGGTCCTGGGGCAGGAATGTCCTTGGTGTGTTTCTCGGGCAGTGAGGAGGCCTGTGTGGCTGGAGGGGAATGAGTTGGGGGGAGTGTGGAGGAGACAAAGTCAGGATGCCCGCAGAGATCAGCCAATGTGAAGCCTTGGGCTTTTTATCGGCAGGTACATATTGTGATGGATAGTGGTGAGTGGGTGTGTATAAATGCACATACTCCTGAATGAAAAAGCACAGGGGTGTGCATGTGTGTATATGTGTGTTGTCCCTGACTCTGAAATTTGGTTCCCAGGATCATTACCTTCCATCTGCTCCTATTTTGTGCCCCAGAAGATTTTCCTTTGAAAGCACATGCTGGGAGCCCAGCTCTGCCCACTTGCCCACCTGTGTGCTGCCAGGTGTTCTTTCCTCGCCAGCAACGTCAGAGCAGAGGTAAACGCTGATGAGGTCAGACAGTGCACTCTGGGTGGGGAACTCAGTAAGACCCATAGATGCTTTTGCCAGTAGCTGAGTGGGCCCCTGGCCTCCCTTACTCACTTGGTCTTGATTTCCATGTCATCGTGGCTGGAGTGGCACATTTCACTGAAGCGGGACACAAAGAAGTCATAGCTCCGGTGATAGGATGGGGTGTCCTCTTCGATGTTGGCAAATTTCACAAACTGCCCGGGAGGAGGGAGAGAAGTACAGATGAGAAGTGACCCACTGTGCTCTTCCCCTTTGGGCTCAGGGCTCTGGGACTTGCCATCGTGAGGCCCCCTGCCCTAGTAAAGCCATGGGACATACACATCTGGGAGCCATGCATTCCAGGACATGGTTCTGCTCCCCACAGCACACCCCGTCTCCACGCCTCTATGGGTTCCAAATCCTGCTCACCCTTCCCATCTACACTACACGACTGGACCCCATGGCGCTTTTCAGCCCTTCCCTGCTGAGGTGAGCAGAAGTTGGAACAGGTGAGGACAGGGACTCTCTTAAGCTCCTGCCCCCTTCCATGCCCAGAGCTGCACCAAACACACAGAGGCGGGAGGCAGAGATCCACTGAAACAGCCAAAGCCAACACCAAACCGTATCTCAACACTTTAGAATGAATTCGGGGAAACAGGAACAAATCTGAAATTTGATTTAAAAATGTAATTCCATTTTATTGTTTAAAATTATTCATTAATTAATTTATTTTTAAAGATTTTATTTATTTATTTGAGAGAGAGAGAGAGAGAGAAGGCAGGAGCGGGGGTGGGGAGGGACAGAGGGAGAGGGAGAAGCAGACTCCCCACTGAGCAGGGAACCTGACACGGGGTTCGATCCCAGGACCCTGAGATCAGGACCTGAGCCGAAGGCAGACGCTTAACCAACTTAACCGACTGAGCCACCCAGGCGCCCCTATTGTTTAAAATTTGAGCCCATTTTTTAAAGTTTACCAGTTCAGTTCTGTTAAGTCTGGCTCAGCATTATCAGCTGCTGGATTCCTTCTGCCACCAGGCTGCACATTTGCAATTCTAAATAGGGACTTAATTTCGATGGAATCCCACAGAGAAGCAAGAATCACGGACTAAGTAGAGTTAAATTGCTAAAAATTAAGTGTAATTCTTATAGGTTGTTTTATTTAATGTTATAAATTTAGTACTGCAAACAACTCAAAAGATTATCCTTATAATAAAATCTATTCTCCATTATTCTGTCATGTAGTTATTTAATTTTTATAAACATTTGTTGGTTCTAAAAGGATATGCTATTATTTCTAAAATTATCTAGTTAATGCACTCATAATATTCATTACCAATTGCCAATCTGTTTCTCTATTTAACTACTCAAAATTTGTTAACTTTTTCTGGATGACAATTAGCAGCTTCCACCAACATTATTAATTATTCCTTCACTAATAGATATACATTTATTTTCTGCTGACTCATAAAATCTCTACATACAAAGTAGATGAGGAGATCCTTCTTTCCAAGTTAACATCTAAAATGTATACATCTATTTGGAAGTGAATATTCTGATATTAGCAATAAATCCAAAGGACACCGCTTGCATTATTGATGGGGTTCTGCAGAAGAGGCGAAGTGGTAATCCGTGTGATCATAAGATCATTGATTAGACATAAGTTCAGGAATTCTAGAAACAACAGTAAAGTCAGCCTTCGGCTGCGTGAACTTCTTAAGCCTCGCAAAGGTTAGAACACAGAGGTAGGCTGATACGGAGGCTAAAGGGAAGTTTGGGCTCACTGCTGCTCTTACCGACCCACAGGATGATCCAGGGCTGCACTCCCCGCCCCACGGCCAAAGCCTGGAGTGTCAGGGTGTCCATCTACTCAAAGGGGACATGCCACAGATCTACCTCTCATTGGCAGTGTGAATTCTGAGTGGGACATTTAACTTCTCTTATGGTTTGCTTTTCCCACGTGTAAAATAAATACTGCAGTCATCATTCACTAAGGGTCTTAATTTTTTAAAAAAGATTAAAAAAAATTTATTTGAGAGAGACGGGGAGAGATCGCAAGCACGTGCACACAAGAGCTGGGGACAGGGGGAGGGGCAGAGGGAGAAGCAGGCTCCCCGCTGAGCTGGGAGCCCGATGTGGGACTCGATCTCAGGGTCCTGAGATCATGACCTGAGCCGAAGGCAGACTTAACCGACTGGGAGCCACCCCGGCACCCCTTAATTTTTTTTGTATTGTATGTACATCACATATGATGAGGCAGCTTAAAATAAGACAATCTGAGTGTATGCAAGAGAATATGCATTTAAAATTATTAAAACAAGACAGAAAAAAAGAGACCATGATAAAGAGGGAGAAATAGTGAAAGATTTTGTCTCTAACATTTACCGACTGTGTAGACTCAGAGGGATGTCAGGAGGATGAATTTGCCCAGACCTCATGTTCACTGGTTTGGGAGTTTGGGGGGGTGACAGTGAGGAACGTGTGGAAGCTCATACATGTCAGGTGCTACTCTAAGCATTTTACACACCTCATCTCTTCTTCGAAGGACTCTAAGAGAGAGAGAGATTATGGTACAACAGAGCCACAGGGCTCAGTAACCACACGGATTTGCACCACCAGCCCCAGACATGCTGAGTCACTCCTGGAGGAGGCCCAGGGGTTTACCTTGCAGCACGGTCGGTCCCAGGAGACCTGATAGGACGGTCTCCATTCGAGAAACCCTGCCGGTCACTGATGGACAACCTGGCCTCCTGTCTCTGCGCACCACCCCCCTCTCCGGACACGGACGCTTCTCTGAACCGATGCCTGATCTCTGAGCAATGTGACATCAAGTACCCCTGCACTTTCAACCTTGGCTTTCCTCTTCTTCTAAACCCCGTGAAGCCATGAGCAGGCCCGACCGCTGGTCAGGGGCACGGTCTGAGCGCTCACTCACGCCCAGTGTTGTTAAGACTGGCCATTACCGGGGCGCCTGGGTGGCTCAGTCGTTAAGCGTCTGCCTTCAGCTCAGGTCATGATCCCAGCGTCCTGGGATTGAGCCCCCGCATTGGGCTCCCTGCTCGGCGGGGGGCCTGCTTCTCTCTCTCCTACTCCAGCTGCTTCTGTTCCCTCTCTCGCTGTGTCTCTCTCTGTCAAATAAATAAATAAAATCTTAAAAAAAAAAAAAAAGACTGGCCATTACCCGTGCTGTCCAGGCTGCTAAATATTTTGACTAGTACCCACTGGCTGTAAGGTTAGAATTGAGATTACAATCAATTTTTAAAAACCAAAAATTCTGTGACGGCCACTCTGGTAATGCGGGATAGAAAACAGGCGTGGGGATTCCTTTTCTACAACCAGGGGTGGCCTTTCTCTAGTTTCCTCTGAATCTGTGCCCACAGGGCCAGCCCCAGCTGCTAACTGCACTGGAAAATGCCCTCATTCTTCTCTTCTGTGACTGTCTGCGTCCTTGGATTTTCACTCTTCTGCACTCTTCCTCCCTGGAAATTTAGGTCTGAGTCTTCTCAGATTTTGCTTTTGACATGGGCGTTCTTCCATTTAAGTAGACAGTGGTCCCGCCTGCACTGCCGGGGCCACAGTTGGACGGCCACCTCCTCACTCTGCCTCTTGTCCCCCGTGTGACTGTGGACAAATTGTGAAACTTCTGAGCCACTGTCTCCTCATCGGTGAAGTAGGGACACTAAGATCTATGTCAGAGGGCGGTCACCAGGATTAAATGCGGGGACGTATGCCGAGTGACTAGCACAGTGCCTGGCTAGCTCAGGAAACAGTGCTGCAGGGACCGTGGTGATGGTGGCCAATTGTGGTCTGGTCCATCAGCTCCAGGACTAGGCAGCATGACCCTTGTCCTTTTCATGTCACCAATACAGGCCTGGCCAGGCAATCACAGAGGAGGAGCCCAGGTGGGCAGTGTGGACCATGCAGGCAACACACCTCAAATGAGATGCCTGGGGGTGTGGAGAGAGGGAAACTAGTTTTCGCCACCCCCGGGCGAACTGGTGGCTGAGGGTGGGAGTGAGGACCGCAGCAGAGGGCGGGGGGGGGGGGGGGGGGAATGGCCACGCCCCTCGAGGCACCTTTCAGGGGCTGAGGTCCTGTAGTGCAATAGGGCAGGACCGAGCACAGCACCGAGGGGCAAGCGGGTGGGACTATGGGATAGCCAGCAGCCATCCCTGCAAGACCAGGGACACATTGGCTGAACATTCACTTTCTTCTCTTTAAAATGCGCATATCGGGGTGCCTGAGTGGCTCAGTCATTAAGCGTCTGCCTTCCGCTCAGGTCATGATCCCAGGGTCCTGGGATCGAGCCCCACATCGGGCTCCCTGCTCAGCGGGAAGCCTGCTTCTCCCTCTCCCACTCCCCCTGCTTGTGTTCCCTCTCTCGCTGTCTCTCTCTCTGTCAAATAAATAAATAAAATCTTAAAAAATAAAATAAAATAAATAAAATGCACACATCGTCTCCTAGGAATGTGAGTAAATTAGAGATAATTAAGAAAAGCTCCCCAAGTTCCTGGAAAAACAGGAACTCTGTGAATCCAAGTTTTAATATTAGCAAGGTTCTTATTTCTAAGAGGCTTAAACTTTTTTTTAAGAGGTGGAGGAAGGGCAGAGGGAGAGAGAGAATCTTAAGCAGGCTCTACACCCAGTGCAGAGCCTGATGAGGGGCTCAATCCCATGACCACGAGATCATGACCTGAGCCAAAATCAGGAGTTGGATGCTTAACTGACTGAGCCACCCAGGCATCCTGAGGCTTAAACTTTTTTTTTTTTTAAAGCTTTTCTTTATTTATTTGACAGAGAGAGACACAGGGAGAGAGGGAACACAAGCAGGGGGAGCGGGAGAGGGAGAAGCAGGCTTTCTGGGGAGCAGGGAGCCCGATGCGGGGCTCGATCCCAGGACTCTGGGATCATGACCTGAGCCAAAGGCAGACGCTTAACGACTGAGCCACGCAGGCGCCCCTGAGGCTTAAACTTTTTATGGGTCCTACAGGATTCAGCAGTGCACCATCACTGAATGAGTGCTGGCTGGGGCAACGTACAAATACAGTCAAGACACCACTCAACAACCTGTGGTCTGTTCTTCGCATGTCTGAGGCTCTGCTCATTGCACTTTGTCATCCCACCTGACCAGAAAAACACATTTCAAATATGGTTGTGGTGAAGCTTGTTTGCTTTGGTTTAACTCGTACCTTGTTCTTTTGGAAGTCAAAATATTCAA